TTGGAGAAAAAGGCATCAAGCTAAGCAGCCAAAACCGCTCAGACAGTAAGTTATGAGTGGCACTGATGATTTCGTTATTTGTTACCAGATTAATTACAGTTTCATGGACAAACTGAAGATGACAGTTACAGACTGTAGTCCATCTGTTTCTCTGCATACTTCGTTAGCCCCCTTTTACCCTGTTCGTCAGAGGTCAGGAGCCCCATGGACCCTCACAGAGCAGGTGCTATGTGGGTGGTGGATCATTCTCAGCACTGCAGTAACACTGACGTGGTGGTGGTGTGTTAGTGTGTGTTGTGCTGGTTCGAGTGGATCAGACACAGCAGTGCGGCTGGAGTTTTAAACACTGTGTCCACTCACTGTACACTCTATTAGACGCACCTGTGTTGTCAGTCCACCCTGTAGATGCAAAGCCAGAGACGTTAGCTCATCTCTTGCTGTAAAGTATGAGCTAATCATACTCTAGTCGTTCATCAGTGGTTACAGGACGCTGCCCACAGGAAGCTGTTGGCTGGATATTTTTGGTTGGTGGACTATTCTCAGTCCAGCAGTGACACTGAGGTGTTTAAAAACTCCAGCAGCACTGCTGTTGTTTTTTTATCCTCTCGGAAGGTAACTGGATATAGTCGATGAACAGGAAACCTGACCCTGTGGTGGTCTCACATCCTTTGCCGCTGTGGTGCCCAGGTGTTGTGGTTACCGCTTCTGATTTAAAAACGTCCTTACCTGTGCAGTCATGGAGCAAACATGCCCGTGGCCACATGCTGCCATCGTGGCACTACTGCCCAACAACAGAATCAAACCGAGTAACACATACGAAGCCCTACATCACACTTCCAGCTCTAGGTGCACCACCTCCCAGCTTTAGCCTCAACACCTGGCTCTGCAACAACATGAATACAGCTTTATTTTCCTTCATTGCTCAATAACTAAAAAAAAAAACACCAACCCAGGATCGGGAGCAGAACTGAACTCTGAGCCGAGTGTATCAATACTTCCCTACAAGACCTGCAAGCCTGATTTCTGACTACCCATGGACAGACATTAAGAGCCAACACTGCTGCTGCGTCATTAATCCCAAAAGCAAAATACAATGAATCAACTCTGCACAGACAAAGAAAGACTTCAGGATCCACACCCTAGTACACAACATCGCACTAGATGCCAGGAATCATCACAACGCTCCAAGACAGTTTCCCAACACTCATATACATCGCCATATTTCATTTCTCCAAGGTTTGACAGGTTGAATCAGGAACAACCAAAACTGAAAACACTTCTGGTCTACATCCAAAGAAATAGGTCTAATTATGCTCTCTTTGTAGTTGGTCAGTGTTCTTAAAGTACTGACTATCCACTCAGAGAAGCAAACTGTGATTTAATGCAATGTAATTTATCACAGTAGCAATTAATATAGTTACTCTTACACAATCTGGCCAATTCGGGGTTTGACTTAAAACCCATGTGTTCAAAAACAGATTACATAAAGGGTGTATAGACACATCACTAAACTATGCATATTTTAATACAAGGCAACTCTGAAAAAAGCAGCATATCGCTAATTTTACTCGTCCAATTCTGCGTCCTTTTTGCTTGACATGCGCAGCACTCTGTGAAAGTCTTTGTTTAAAACCATCTGTCTCACCAGTAAGTGTGTTTTTGTTTGTATAAGCATTTAAACGTTAGAGTAAACACATATAAACATACATAAAGTTCTGAATAACGGAAGAATGTCTTGTTTTTCAAAACGCTGCTGTCAGAGCAAAACCTTGCATCTCTATTTTTGCCGTTTTCCGGTTTTTGACATAGTTTTTAAAAAATGCCTGTTGTCCTTTACATTGTGTGTAAATTTCATGATGATTGGACCAAAACAAACGACCTAAGACGTCTGGTTCCCTTGACTTACATTAAAAGTAAAGTATGTTTTTTCCTTCTCCTGTAAAGCGACCATTTTGGAGACATGAGGTTTTGTTCCAACAGCAGCGGAAAAAGTAGTTGAGGCATAAGGTGGTCAGAAGAACACGAGTTTGGCTCAAGATTTCTCATCAGCACTCCTGATTTAATTTAAAGCAGCACTGATTAGACAAACTTAACTACAAATAACACTGGGCTTCCCCAAGGACATGTTTGGAAATGGCTATTCAAACACATTAAAAACTGCTTATTGTATCAATGTTTTTGTATCTATTCTTAAGCTTTTTCCCTAAGCAAATAAACACGCACTGATTCCGAAGTACTGATTCTTTTCATGTAATCTTCCTGCACAGTACTGTTTGTATTTTTGGCCAGCTAGTATATTTAAAATATGAAATACATGATAAAAGAAATAAAATATATTATTTGCTTTTAGCTGTATGTAGGCAACCCATTTCAACATGTAGCACATGATCCTCACAAGATCCTCAGCTTCCTGCTGGACTATACAGACGGTATAAACACAGATAAGAAATGGGTTCTTGTTCTTGTAAACAAAGCAGAGTGGAAAGATACACCGGCATGTCTGGACGTCTTTTCTCTGAAGGCCTAAAACTTTGCTGACGATCTCTAAACCCCATCAGTGACGTCAGCTGCAAGCATTCAGCACTGCCACAATGTCTATAAGATCTGTGATGTTTTCTCCATCAATACAGGAACTTTTATGCTTCTGTATCAAACAAACTGAGTTACCGTAAAGATCTTATCACGTGGGCGATCAACAAGCTCAACTACAAACTTAGTACAACGCTGCTGCCAAGATTGAAGAACATTCCAGAGCGAAGGGCCGGTGCCAAATCTCTTTACGGGTCATTTTTAGAGGTAAAAGTTTTAAAAAATAATCTGTAAATATCTGTAAAGTCTCTCTAACTCGGCAGAATGGCTATTAGACAGGTTACAAACAGATCAGTGAGATCCTGGATTCTCTAAGCCTAGTTAGCACTTTTAAAAAGAATCTCAAGTTTTGCTTAAATGTTGCTTTTAACCAGAGTCCAGTTTCTCATTTTGTTAAAATATAACACTCTTTTCTCTGCATGATTGTCCTTGTAAATGTATTTTGTCTTACGTTACATTTTCCTTAAATTAATGGCCATTTTGTACATTCTCCCACCAAGCAACTTTTTTTTTTCTTTTTATTGAAATCTTTTTAATCATCATTATTATTGCATATTGAAATTGTTAATTGTCAGTAACTTTCTTGCACTTTTTATGTAAATAATACCGTATTTTGCACTTCTGGTTAGATGCTAACTGCACTTCATTGGCTCTGTGCCTGTACTCTGCACAACGACAAAGCTGAATCTAATCTAATTACTATTGCTACTACTCACGCATCTGATTGGAGATAAATACGAGGCCAAACTTCGGCCGTCACATGCTGGATAACACAACCACGTCCACAGCCATAATCACCTATTTTTTTATTATCTGAGGAACAAAACCAGTATTGTGCCGTACTCTCAGCTCCAGATGTGACGTTAAGTAGAGGTCGAGAGGCTTATTTGTTACCGTATGTTGTGCTTTGCTAGATGGAGTCCACGAAAGGCAAAGCATAACATTTTTCTAAACCCTTAAACACTTGCAGTCCTAAATGGCTCCTTCCTCCCTCCACTGTGCAGAATATAACCTGTAGGAAACTGACCACATGAACTGAACCTCATATGGCCCTTTGTTAGACATATTACGCACTGCCTGGTGCCAGAATCATTATTTTAAGACCTACGTAGCACCAGAGCAGGGATCCATTTGCGGTGCAGCCTAAGAGATTATGAAATAAAAGGAAGTTTGTGGTCGAGCCAGAGAGATTGTCTGTGTGAACGATCAGTAAATGCTTTCACTTGTGCATGAAAATGGCAGGACTCAGATACACTTTAGTAATGAAAGAACCAAAATTAAACGAGAGAAAGCATTTTAAACAGATAAACTATTTGTATTTATATACAAATAGTTCCTCTGTTTAAAACGGGTTCTCTCATTTAACAAGAGTGCTGCAGCAGATGCTGCATCCACCGTTTACTCCGGCACTCATGACAGCTGAAAATGCAGCTGAAGTTCTTAAACAAAGTCGCAGGGAGCTGAAAGTGGTCTGAAGTTGCGCTGTTGAGGCTCTGCAGATGGACACCGCTGTGTCTCGGGGCCAAAACTGGCCTGGGAGGATGTTTGTTTTGGCCTGCCGGAGGGTCATCCAGATTCCACCCCCTCTTATTTTCTCTTAAAACTGGATTTTTGGACTATTTTAATGACAAAGCATGCTGTAGCCTTATGAAATATACTTTTAAAAGTCTTCCTTTTTTGTCTATTGCTCTGTCTTTGTGGACTTTTGGCTCCCCAAGACAAAAATTGGGCACCCCTTATCTCATAACCTAACGCTGCTGAACCATTGGAACTAAAACCTGATGTTTCCTGTAGAAAACCCTTAGAAAACCGTCAGATGAGTCTAGAATCAGTCACATGTCAGGAGTTAAACCACTATGAGCTTTTTTGGGGAAATTAACCCATTACAATCAGGAGAAAGCAGGACACTAATGACGACGTTACACAAACAGCAGACACTAATGTTTGCTTTTTCCACATGGCACACATCTGGATTCTTGTATATCTCATAAAAATGTAATATCCCAACTCTTTGCTGATCTGAGCTTGATAGCTGTCTAAACAAAAAGCGAGGCCTATAAACAGGATCAGGTTTACTTTAGCATTAACGTTAAGCGTTCCCAGTTTGTTAGCCGTATGGAGAATCCCCCATTAACGGTCCATGTAAGTTTAGCTAACCTAGGTTAGCTAACGAGCTGGCTACGAACACCAAAGAAGAAACGAAAACATGATGTTAAAAATACTGTCAATAACAAAAATCACAACTATATAGAGTAACACAAAGCTAACAAAGCTAAGGAGTAAACAGAAGGCGGCTTTCAAAACGGTTAATCTGACTTACAGCTAGAACAACACTAGTTAACTAACTAAGCTAACGCTAGCTAGCCAACTGACCCGGAGCTCTGTTATGAACGTTAACGGTGTTTACTTACCCACAGAGGAACCGAGGACGTGGCTCAGACACGCACAAAAAGGCAAAAATAAACGCAGTTTTGGCCGCTCAAACATTGTGGTCGCAGGTTGGAACTAATATAGAGACACTCGCGGATATTTTCGACAGCGGTTCAGCTGATTACGTCGAACATTTCCTCCAAAAAATTACGTTTTAAGACGTTGCGGCTGGTCCGAGCTGCGCTAACAGACAGGCTAGCAGTGCTGTGAGTCTGAACTGAGGCGGCGTTAACCCGCACGGCTGCCGAGCGGGTCTCCCAGTGGCTGAGCTCAGTCACTGCCTCCCCTGAAGGAGGAGCTTTGTGTGAAATTTCCCGTCAAAATCCACGGACTTCCCCAAACATGTAGACACTTCAAAGCGGCTTTCAGTCGTAGTTTGTATTACTGGTGGAATAAATACAGTCCAGATAATTCCAGCCACCCTGCTGAAAAAAGCCCATTAGAACCATTGGGATTAAAACTTGATGGTGATCGGCTTAAGGGTTACCATTAGAGACCACTAGTTTCCTGTAAGACACCATTAGATCCCAGAACGCCTGTTAAAGCATTAGAACCCTTTACACTGTGATAGCAACCCATCAGGAAAACACACAATACCATTGCTGACTACTCGACACCACCAGGAGCCAATAGCAACTATTACTATGATGTCTGTTCAGCAGGACGGTCTTCATGTGAGGCTGGTCTGGTCTTCAGCCCTCTGCCCTGGACATCATGACCAGGAACCAAACACACCATTAAAAGTTTCTGTTGGTTTTTGGTGACTAATGGTATTTTGTGTTTTCCTGATGGGTTGATGTCACAGTGTAAGAAAATGATGGTTTAGCAAGTAAAAACGTCTTAAATGTAGTCAATCTATGTAATATTTCTCTTTATGACATCATTGAAAGAATATTATATTATTATTTAACTTGTTTCTATATATTTTCACTGTGTTTAGGCTCATTTGCTGTGTTTAGACTCATATTCACTGTGTTCAGATTCACATTCTCCGTGTTTAGATTCATATTCACTGTTTAAATACATATTTACTGTGTTTAGATTTATATTCACCGTTTTTAGATTCATATTCACTGTGTTTAGACTCATATTTGCTGTGTTTGGATTCATATTCGCTGTGTTTGGATTCATATTCACTGTGTTTAGACTCATATTCAAGGTTTGGATTCATATTCAAGGTTTAGATTCATATTCACTGTGTTTAGACTCATATTTGCTGTGTTTAGATTCAAATTCACTGTGTTTAAATTCGCATTCATTGTTTAGATACATATTTACTGTGTTTAGATTTATATTCACTGTTTTTAGATACATATTCACTGTGTTTAGACTCATATTCACTGTGTTTGGATTCATATTCACTGTGTTTAGATTCATATTCACTGTTTAAATACATATTTACTGTGTTTAGATTTATATTCACCGTTTTTAGATTCATATTCACTGTGTTTAGACACATTCGCTGTGTTTGGATTCATATTCACTGTGTTTGGATTCATATTCACTGTGTTTGGATTCATATTCACTGTGTTTGGATTCATATTCGCTATGTTTAAATTCACATTCACTGTTTAGATACATATTTACTGTGTTTAGATTTATATTCACTGTGTTTAGATAAGTATTCACTGTGTTTAGACTCATTCACTGTGTTTAGATAAATCTTCACTGTGTTTAGATAAATATTCACTGTGTTTGGATTCAAATTCACTGTGTTTAGATTCACATTCACTGTTTAGATACATATTTACTGTGTTTAGACTCAAATTTACTGTTTAGATAAATATTCACTGTGTTTAGACACATTCGCTGTGTTTGGATTCATATTCACTGTGTTTAGATACACATTCACTGTGTTTATTTTGCTGATTTCAGGAAAGACTGTTTAAAACAAGTGAAATGATTGGAGTGGACTACACCACTTTCACTAGACAAAACTACTTAAAACAAGTGAAATGTCTATAAATAAGTTAAATAGTATTATAATGTTCTTACAGCAATCTCATAATGAGAAATATTAGATATAATGATTACATTTAAAAGATTTACACTTGGTCCTTTGTTTAACGTAAACCCAAATTAGCTAAGATAATGATTAGTTTACAACTTACGAAGTCTGATATGATTGGCTTACAACTTATGAGGTCTAATATGATTGGCTTACAACTTATGATGTCTGATATGATTGGCTTACAACTTACAAGGCCTGATATGATTGGCTTACAACTTATAAGATCTGACATGATTAGCTTACAACAACTTACGAGGTCTGATATGACTGGCTTACAACAACTTATGAGGTTTGATATGATTGGCTCACAACTTACGAGGTCAGAAAATAATTTGCTTACAACTTATGAGGTCTGTCATGATTGGCTTACAACTTACAAGGTCTGTCATGATTGGCTTACAACTTACAAGGTCTGATATGATTGGCTTGCAACTTACAAAATCTGATTGGCTTACAACTCTTAAGGTCTAACATGACAGGCTCACAACGTACAAGATCTGATATGATTGGCATACAGTTAACGAAGTCTGATATGATTGGCTCACAACTTACAAGGTGTGAAATGATTGGCTGAGCCGGGGTTCCACTTTTCACCTTAGGTTAGTAAATCTCTGTAAGAGATGTAATGGCATGGCTGAATAATGAAGAATGAATCAGAATAATATCTAGATGATTTGAACTGGTCATATACATTTATTTGGGAAATGGAGCTAAATAACATTTTAAAAACTTTAAAAAGACACCCCTGCTGTCAAATACGGTCCATCTTCTCCATTCTGGTGAATAATGATGCAGTCCTCCAAATTAAAGTCAAGCCAGAATTAACAGGTGATTCCAAGGAGAAAAATAACTACAGTGGTGTGAAAAAGTGTTTGCCCCCTTCCTGATTTCTTATTCTTTTGCATGTTTGTCTCACTTAAATGTTTCAGATCACCAAACAAATTTAAATATTAGACAAAGATAACACAAGTAAACGCAATATGCAGTTTATAAATGAAGGTCTTTATTATTAAGGGAAAAAGAAATCCAAACCTACAGGGACCTGTGTGAAAAAGTGATTGCCCCCTAAACCTAATAACTGGTTGGGCCACCGTTAACAGCAACAACTGCAATCAAGCGTTTGTGAGTCTTTTACAGCGCTGCGGAGGAGTTTTGGCCACTCATCTTTGCAGATTTGCTGTAATTCAGTCACATTGGAGGGTTTCTGAGCATAAACCGCCTTTTTAAGGTCATGCCACAGCATCTCAATCGGATTCAGGTCAGCACTATAACTAGGTCACCCCAAAGTCTTAATTTTGTTTTCTTAAGCCATTCAGAAGTGGACTTGCTGGTGTGTTTTGGATCATTGTACTGCAGCAGAACCCAAGTGCGTTTCAGCTTGAGGTCACGAACAGATGGCTGGACATTCTCCTTCAGGATTTTTTGGTAGACAGCAGAATTCATGGTTCCATTTACCACAGCAAGTCTTCCAGGTCCTGAAGCAGCAAAACAGCCCCAGACCATCACACTACCACCACCATATTTTACTGTTGGTATGATGTTCCTTTTCTGAAATGCTGTGTTACTTCTACGCCAGATGTAACGGGACATACACCTTCCAAAATGTTAAATTTTTGTCTTGTCAGTCCACAGAGCATTCTCCCAAAAGTCTTGGGGATCATCAAGATGTTTTCTGACAAAACTGAGATGAGCCTTTCTGTTCTTTTTGCTCAGCTGTGGTTTTCGTCTTGGAACTCTGCCATGCAGGCCATTTTTGCCCGGTCTCTTTCTTATGGTGGAGTCCTGAACACTGACCTTAACTGAGGCAAGTGAGGCCTGCAGTTCTTTGGATGTTGTTGTGGGGTCTTTTGTGATCTCTTGGATGAGTCGTCGCTGCGCTCTTGGGGTAATTTTGGTCGGCCGGCCACTCCTGGGAAGGTTCACCACTGTTCCATGTTTTCGCCATTTGTAGATAATGGCTCTCACTGTGGTTCGCTGGAGTCCCAAAGCTTTAGAAAATATTTTATAACCTTTTCCAGACTGATAGATCTCAATTACTTTGTTTCTCATTTGTTCCTGAATTTCTTTGGATCGCAGCATGATGTCTAGCTTTTGAGGATCTTTTGGTCTACTTCACTTTGTCAGGCAGGTCCTATTTAAGTGATTTCTTGATTTTCACACAGGGCCCTGTAGGTTTGGATTTCTTTTTCCCTTAATAATAAAGACCTTTATTTATAAACTGCATTTTGTGTTTACTTGTGTTATCTTTGTCTAATATTTAAATCTGTTTGGTGATCTGAAATATTTAAGTGTGACAAACATGTAAAAGGATAAGAAATCAGGAAGGGGGCAAACACTTTTTCACACCACTGTATATACTTGTTTAGAAAGATCTCTGCTTAAGGCACTTTTCTTAGAAAAGCAAGATCCTAAGTAGGCTCTTAGCAGTTCTACAGTCAGGACAAATCCTTGTATGTTCCTACATCTCAGTTTCATGATGAATGGACCAGTGGTCCAAAATTATGTGTAAAAAATCTTGTTCTTTTACTTCCAGTTAAGAAAATGTTTTTCCCTGTCCTGTAAAGTTATAATTTTGGAGATACAAGGCTTCGTCTCCACACCGACAGATGGTATTACTGTCTCTGAGACACGGATGCATACAAGTGAGCTGCTCTATGAGAGCTTACCACCAAGCGCGTTAGTGAAAAACACGTGTTAAGCCACATCCTCTCAGACTGATAGTTATGGTGAGAGACCTGCAGGTAGGAACCGGGTACGTCTGTAACCATGAAATTAAAATAGTGAGAAAGGCAAAGTTTCGATCTGCAGTACATTCCAACAGTAGAACCTCAGTTAATGTTCTCCATTTGCCACCATTGATTTGCATGTTGTAGAGACATCTTGAAAAATGTGTCATACCAGTAAGATAATAGAGTGATATGAAATATGACCAAACACCCAGCCATTCTGGCTTGTCTCAAAGCCTAAAGGGGGTATTTATGTGGTTGACTGAGGCCTTAATCACCATACAGTCACTGACAGCTTCACTGTAATACTGAAATTATTAAAGAAAATTATTTTCTAAAGAACTCTTTAGAGGAAAAGGGGCTTTTAAAGTGTAATTACAGTGTTAGTGTGTGCCCTTTATGGTTATCTGACCAAGGAAAAAAAAAAGATGATCTTTAAAGGGCCCTAAAATTTCCTTGCATTTTTGAAGTAAAGGAGTTTGATGTAGTATGTAAACATTA